TCATATTTTTCCTCAAAGATTTCAATTTAGGTTAGTTTTTAAGCATTTAGAAGCAATTCAATATACAAAACAGGTCTACCATATTGATTTGATTAGTTCTTCTTTCTCTTATGGATTCATCTATGTTATTTGTTCATGTAAATAGGTTAAATGCTTTTTGCCTTTGGCCAGATATATAGTTTATTTAATTTCAATTTTCATATTTAATTTTATAAGTTTCTAGACTTTAATTATTTTGTAGATTCTCCTTTAGTTTTAGTTATCAAGAAGTTTAGCTATTTTTATTTTAAATCTGTAAGTAATTAGTTTAATTATTATGGATTGCATAATGGAAGTCGTTGTCTGTGATTTTACCTTTTTTGTTGTCTGCGAGTTTTATTTTTGTGGCATGTTGTGCTTTTTTGTTGATTTATATTAGATTAATTGTCTTAGGATTTTGTGTTAATTTTAGAATTTGTAGCTTTTAATACATTTTTGTGGTTGTGAAGCCCTTAGAGGTTTCCAAGGCAATTAGTAACCCATTCTGCGGAACTCTACCCTTTGTTTTGCAATATCGTTTGGGGCGCAGTTTATTTCACAGATGTTCTTTCCAGCCAACCTTTTGAAGGTCGACTGTTGGAAAGGAGAAGAGTCGTCTGAAAAATCCTATTTTTTTGTTTTGAACAAAGTAAGTGGCACGCCTAATACCCAAATTCACGTCATCAAGGTCGACTAAGGATTTTTGGGGAAACAGGTTTGGACAACATTCCATATAAGTTTGGACTTCGTTTGAACATGTTTCATATAGATATTTAAATATAGCAATTTATTCAAAACTATGAATATATTTTTTAATATATTTTTATTAATATTTTATAATACTTTTAAGATAGAAAAAAAAAAGAAGAAAAGGTACAACTATAGCGTATTAGAGCAGTAGTAAACAATACCTTAAACAAATTAGTCGTTATGTACATAGTACGCATCATTTATTCAGATAATTGAACTTAACCCTGCAATATGTTGGATACGTTGCGTGTGTGTACTGACAATATAGAGGAGACATTTGTGTATGTTCTTAAAATGCGATATTTTATTTTGCTTCCAATAGAATTAATTAGTTGCATCATCTGAACTCCTTGCACCAAAAAAATCATCTGAACTCCTGTTTTTGTATTTCTACCTGCTTTTATGGCTACTGGTGTGACGCGTGGAGCGCATGGTGTTGGCAGATTGGGACCATCATTTGCTTACCTTACCACAATATGCGGTTTTGGCTAAATGGTTTTTGGTCATAAAACTATTGATTTTGGTTATTCTCAAAAATAATTTGGTTGATTTTTAGTTCAAGTGTTTGAAAACTAAAAATCAAATCTATAACCGAAGTATATTAATAAGAAATAATTTTTTTTAATATCTTAAATATCAATATCTCTCAATAATTAATTGACAGATATATTTTAAGAAGTATATTATAATTTAACATTTAAATTCAAAATCTAATTCTTATGCTATATTTTATTTTATTTTTTTTGAACTTTTTATTATAGGGCAGGTTCGAACCCCGTCTAGGAGAGGGGGATATGCACTTTTTCAATGGCACTAGCCATTGGACCACAAGGGCCAAGTGCCTTATGCTATATTTTATTTTACTTTTATTTATAATTTATTATTATTATATCCCCTTAAAAATTTTATCATTAAATTTCTCTCTTTTAGTTGTACCATTCATCTTACCCCTTTAACTTTACCTTATATTTTTTTATCCTAGTCTAGGGTTAAGTCCGCTAGGGGTTAAGTCCATCTAGAAAATCCAGTAAAAACTTTAAAATGAAATCCTTCATACGCTCTACTCTTAATGTCTTTGGCTTAAGCCATTGTTGCTGTTTTTTCCTTCATTTTTGTGCATTCTCCCCTTATATCTACTCATTGTTTATAGTCCAGCATCTTCTTCAATTTCCTCTTCATCCCTGCAAACGCATCATACTAAATAATCGATGAATACCAAAATCAAAATCATAAAATTGAAATTTTGATAACCAACACCGAAGAAATGGTGGACTTCTGGTAACGGTTTTGATCTTAAAAAAAAAAAAAACCTAATCATAAGTTCCTAGATTCTCTTCGACAGACCACTTGGGTAATCTTAAAAAAGTGGTTGACCCAGTGGGAGACACTGTCAGAAAGCATACCCAATTTGTCGACTACGCACGCCATGCTGATCTCACCATTCTGAGCTGGAAGTGTTTGACTGGGTTATGATAGATTTTCTCGGCAATCGCAACTTGCATCAATCTTGTATTTTGAGCAGGGAAAAAATTTCTACTAATACTTTTCCAGACTTTTAAACACAAATAATTTTTTTACCGCGAGCCCAAAAATTATGTATATTATATCAATAGAAAGCTCCGAAACACAAGGATTTTATGGACACCTACATAGCCTATGTAAAACACAAGTGGTTGTGAGAAATATGCAATCAAAATTTGGTAAAGTATAAATATCTAAGGTCTTTGTTCGTTTGATTTTTGTTTTTTTGTTTTTTCCTTGTTTGATCGGTAGGTATAGACAGATAGATGTTTGCTGTCGTCTACATTAACTTGACTGGAGACCTTGAGGTTTCGGAATATTCCTTCATGATTTTGGAACGCGCGGTCACTGTTTCGGTTTTTATTCCTTTAAGGAAAACTTTCAATTCTCCACATGTCAACATACCATTTCTTTTTGTCCACTCCGAATAGGCAGCTCCTAGAATCACAACCAGTCAAATGCCTACATAACGCCAAGCAAACACCACAGACATCCAAGAAGAAAGCTTGTGCATATATGTAACATGAAACCTCTCTCTCTCCATCAATGACCCACGTATATATCAAGTTGCATATTCTCTCTCTTTTTCCATCAATTGCATCTTATGAAAATATTAATTACCTGACTGGATAAAAAAAAAAAAACACAAACTAATCACACACACACACACATATATATATATATCAACAAAAAGCTCTAATCACAAGGATTCTAAAGACACCCATATTACCTTGGTAAAATACAACTCTTTGTGAGAAATCTACAATCAAAATTTTGGCCTTTATAAATCAAAGGTCCTTTTCGTTATTTTTGCTTTTCGGTTGATGAAAGGCAGAAAATTTTTTTTGAATAGCTAAGATTTTATTTTTTTGAAGTTTAGGAATGCTCAACCCATAAATCGTTGTATCATATTTTAACACAAATGTCTTTTGACGTCAGAACCGCCCATACCCTTATTCAGTGGATGTGCTACCCACTAAGAGGTATAAAAGTTAAAAGTTGTCTACAGTACCTTGCTCACACATTATCAAACTTCAGGTTTTTTTTTTTTTGTACTTAGATCTTACGGTTCAATGGTTTCAGGTTACGTATAAATATATTTTTCCTTTTCCAGGGCAACGGCTCGAATCCAACCCTTTGCAAATTTGTTCAAAAAAAAAAATTCAAACTTCATATTCTTTTATTATTTAAAGAAGAAAGTTCATTTTGTTACCCTAACTTGTGGTGTGCAAAAAAGACAAGCTCAAAGTGCCGAAGATTTGCCTGAGATAGTGAGATGTACAGATAGACCGGGTTAGATAAGGATGGCACTAACAAAATGTTGAAACCTATATCATACTCCTAATTTAAAGGTGGATATTCTGTCTCTTTTTCCATCAATTGCCTCTTATGAAAATACTAATTACGTGACTTATTTTTTAAAAATAAATAAAATTATTTTTTATTTTTAAAAATACATCAATAGCTCGGTAAAAAAGGGTTAAAAAAAGGTTCAGTTAATCAAAAATTATTTTTTAAAAATTTTTGGTAAAAGAGATAAGATAAAATAAAATGAACGCATTACTGTCTAAGGTAGCAAACCCCTGTGCGACTATTTACCAAAAAAAAAAAAAAAAAAAACCGCTATACGATCAAAAATTAATTTTGGTGAATACCAAAGGTCCAAAACCGACATTTGTCCAACCCCGTGTCGGGCAAGTACTCGAGTGTCATATCAAGAAAAATTAACTTTGCTCAATAATTTGTTTAATTTTAAATTTAGTACGATGCTGAGTAAAGAAACTATTTTCGTTATATGGTGATCATGACCAATGATGAGACGAGAAAAAATGGTAATGTTGAAAAGAACAATGAGAAAATCTTGCGTCAGCGTAGAAGCGGTTATGAGACGAGGACAAAGGCAATGTTGAAGAGAACAATAAAAAAGTTTTGTGAAAGCGGAGAAACAAAAGAAGCCAACAAGAGAAACTATATTTTTTAAATAAAAAAAAAAGGATAAGAAAGCGAAGTTTCTCTGTTACTACTTAATTTGGGCATGCTCACCGCACCATTCTTTCTTTGTTTTTGTGAAAATTCCACCATTGATTCTGAGCTGAAGGGTTTGATTGGGTTAAGGTAGACTTTCTGCACGACTTCGACACTATCTATCTTGAATTTTGAACAGGGGAAAAAATTATTTCTACTGCTTCCTACCAATACTTTTCCAAACTTTTAAACACAAATAATTCCTTAACTGCGAGTCCTAAAATTAAGTATAATATACCAACAGAACGCTCAAAACACAAGGATTTTAATGACACTTATATTGCCCATGTAAAACACAACTGTTTGTGAGAAATGTGCAATCAAAATTTGGTAAAGTACAAATATTTAAGGTCTTCTTGTTTGATCGGTAGGGTATAGCCGGGGACACGTTTGCCATTGCCGCACATCCTTCCCACGGATTAACATTAAATTTAAGGGGTTGTTGTCTTTGCTGCACTAATTTGACTGGGGCCTTTATTTAGTGCAAAAAGACAAAAGCTCAAAAGAGATACTGAAATGTACAGATAGAATGAGTTAGGTAAGGATGACACTAACAAAATGTTGAAACCTATATTATACTCCTAATTAAAAGATG